CTGTGCAGCCTGCTCTGGGTGACCCTGCTTGGGCAGGGGGTTGGGCTGGGTGACCCACAGAGGGCCCTGCCAACCCCTACAGCTCTGTGATTCTGTGATTTTCACTGGCAGCTAAGAGCAGAGGATGGCTTGTGCTTTGATAGCGAAGAACAGCAGAAAGAAACTGCTTAATCCTGTCCTGTAATGAGACTTATTTTTCCCTTATATGTGGTATTTAAAATCCATGTAGACCCTTCTCACAGTGTTATCAATTGCAAGTTCATGAGTAAATGAATCCCACTGAACCTAATTGCACCAGATGACAATGTTGTTTGACCTAGCTAAGAACTCTGATAATAGATTTTGGCTTTTCTTGAAGGAAGTACTGTAAATCATCCCATTCAACACAGCCACGCTCCCTCCTCTGCTTCCCTCCTATTTGTTTCTTTTCTGTGTGTGTTTAACTAACCTCTTGGTTTTACATAGCAGATAAAGCCACAAATGTTGGCATGTGCAAGGCAAAAATCATTAACGTGAACCACTGAAGCTGTCCTGAAGTAGAGTCCTCCGCGAGCTCACAGATGGCAGTAAATCCTGGGCCTGCGTTCTGCCTGCTGAATCCGCTGGCATCGCAGCGAAACTGAGACACCTGTAATCCTCGGATCGCGTCCGGTGCCGCGGGTGAGGCCGTCTGGAGGGGGCTGTGTGAAGCCGTAGCCGAGGAGCGGGGTCGGTGGCATTGCAGGCTGACGTGAGGCTGTCCTGCTACCACGCTTCCCTGGCTCCGTGGTTGCGCCCTTGCCTTGCACGGAAATTCCTGCAGCCGTGCTGGGAGCTGCTCTGGTTGTAGTCTGGTTGCTGCTCGTTCTTGTTGAGGTTGGGTTTTGGGCCAGCTGACCCGTTCCAAGCTGGGTTCCGATGGCAGCGTGTGAGCCTGGGGACGGTGTCTGCCTGCGGTGTGCCCGGGGTTGGGTCAACCTCAACAGCCCAAGGGTTTCACCCGTAGCCAGAGCAGCTGTCCTGTAGTGCTGAGAGTTAACGTGCTGAGATGGTCTCTTACTGAGGGGTAGTTTAGTTGCAAAGTAAAGTTAGGACTTCAAAGATGATCATTGCTCGATGTTCGCCCAGTTCTTGAGTGGCAGGGGCTGTTTAAGGTGGTCTTGTGAAAATGGGAGACAGCAAGGCATGGTGTAAACACGCTGTTAGGACTTGTCTACACAAAGCAAAGCTAGATGTAGTTGTGGGTTAACGAGCAGATCAGTCCTTTTCAGTTCCCAGAAAGAGACGCAAGCTGGTGGAGTACCGGCGTCTCGTCCTTCAGGAGCAGAGCTGTGGTGTGTTCCCCCGGGTCCCCAGCCCTGATGGCGTGGGGGTCGTGGCGTGCTCCGGTCAGTAAGTCCAGGAGCCAAAGCAGCGGCTTTGTGAAATTTCTTCAGATCAGACACTAATAATGATGTTCAAAAGGAGATTTTAAACTTCTCTCGTTTCTTGCCAGTCTTTAGCTTCAATATGTGATTTAAAATCATAGAATCATGGAATGGTTTGGGTTGGAAGGGACCTTCAAGGTGATCGGGTCCCACCCCCCCTGCCATGAGCAGGGACATCTTCCACCAGCCCAGCGTGCTCAGAGCTCCATCCAACCTGGCCTTGAACCCTGCCAGGGAGGGGGCAGCCACAGCTTCTCTGGGCAGCTCGGGTCAGTGTTTCACCACCCTCATGGGGAAGAACTGAAGAAAATTATAGAGTCCAATATGTCTGTGGAGTAGGACAAAACTTTAACGTTCTTAGAAACTCTGGTATTTAGGATAGAAGCAACTGGTCACTTAGAAGTGTGTGGTGTCCGTTAGGAGCCCTTAGGTACCCGGTCTTTTTGTTTCGTTCATCTGCAGACAGAGATGAGAGTTGCTCAAGAGCTGTGTATTGCAGCGTTTTTCTGTTGGGTCAGTCTCATACTTGGTGTTTCTGTGTGTTACTGGCTGTGGCTGGGAAGGACGTGCTCCTTCTTTTTGTCCCTTCTCTCCTCCGACCTCTGTGCTCTCGTTCTTGACACGTAATGCGTCTCTCGTCTCCTGGGCTGCCTTTGGAAGCATCAGAGCTGAACAATGATGAGAGCACGAGTTCTGCTGCCTGATTTTCAGCACTGCAGTTCACGTTGGGTAGCAGCTGCGCTAATGAAGAAATGTTTTTGAGTGCTGAGGGATAAAAATAAAGTTAAAGGTGGATAAGCATATGTAAATGTAGTAAATGACAATTTCAGTGTAAAGGTAGAAGCACTAATCCTTAGAGAGGGACACTAATATATCCAGGGTTATTTATCTTGATTGGTTAATTAATATTTCTGATAAGGAACAAGCCTTTCAGATTTGTGACTAGGGAGTGGAGAAATGTAGTTAGCGTGACATAGGAAAATCAGCTTACAGACCAAAAATGCCAGGAGGGACCAAGGAGATACTTCTCTTGAAGGTATTTGGACGCCGAGTGGAAACTTGAACTTCATGGATGATTTAGAAAAATGGAAGCAAGCAGATGCCTCTCACAGTATAGGGAGATAATGCTGTAAAAGGATCCTTTTGAGTTTTAGTCATACTTGAACTGAAGTTACCAGATACTGAAAGCTGTGGTCTGTATCCCGGTCATCATTCGGTGGTATTCGGAACGGGGCGGTTCACACAGCGCGCGACAGTTTTGCATTTTATCGATAACATAAATGAGTTACGTTGTAAACCCTTGGGCAGGGAGCACTTCCCACCGGGTTAAAAAACCAGAAGTCTTGTTGGATGTTACTGCTGGTGAGTTCCTCCTCCTGGTGTACGGCGTTTACTGGGTGGTGGGTGAGCCTGGTGGACGGGAAGGTAACGAACGGGCGCTGTGTTTGGAAACCCTGCTTTATAGCTCGTTGGTTTTGCTTTTTTTGTCTCTAGCCTCCACGCCGCCCAGCAGAGTAAATAAGCACAGAGTTTCTCCAAGTGTCGTTTCCACCTGGGAGAAGAGAGGCATCATCATGTCTAACATTACTATCGATCCAGATGTCAAACCTGGCGAGTATGTCATCAAAAGCCTCTTTGCTGAATTTGCTGTTCAAGCTGAAAAGAAAATTGAAGTCGTAATGGCTGAACCTTTGGTGAGTCCTTTTTTTCATCGTATCCCTTGAAATGGTCCTGCTTTTTTCCAAAAATAGGCTGATTTATCGTATGTGCGGTGACGGGGAAAAAACCATCCCCAGATGCTGTTGACTTTTCCAAGGGATTACTTCAAGAATAAATAGGCTTCTGCAAGCAGGGTTGTTGCCTGGATTGTGTTTTATTGACTTCCATTCAAACTGTTATAGAGCAGTTACTGGAAACAAGACCTCTCCGTATTCCGAAGTCCTGTGAACTTACAGAAGGAAGCAGCACCAACAAAAACGTTCTTTAACACCGTGGAGTGCGTTTCCTGTTGATGTTTCTTTGAAATAGGACTGCGACAATATACTGTCAAGAAAAGGTGCATTTGGTTGGTTTTCCAAAGTAATGATGCTAAGACCTGGAGGAATATAGTGGCCAGCGTGGACTGTGGATTAGGCAGAATGCGGAATTCTGTTGGTGATCGAGACCACGTGATCTTGGAATCGGTGGATTTTATTTAGCTTGGAAATTTCGGGGGGGGGAAGGCTTTTTTTAACTTGGAAATTCGCTGAGCAGGCGAGACACTGCGGCTCGGAGAAGGCCTGCCTGCAGAAGTGCGGGTGTGAGCACTTGAGCCCCGG